TCAAAACATATCTGGGCCAGGTTTGGCAAAGATATGGCTGAGTGACCACTGGCTCATCTGAATGTGAGCCAAAAGTGGCCCACATATAATGTGGCAAATGTGGCCCAATTATCTTGTAACATATCTGGGCCAGTTTTGGCAAATATATGGCACAGTGGCACCGGCTCATCTGGATGTGAGCCAAAAGTGGCCCACATGTATTGTGGCAAATGTGGCCCAATTATCTTATAACACATCTGGGCCAGATTTGGCAAAGATATGGCTCATCGAGAACTGGCTCATCTGAATGCAAGCCTAATGTGGCCCACATATTATGTTGCAAATGTGGCCCAGTAATCTCAAAACATAACTGGGCCAGATTTGGCAAAGATATGGCTAAGTGACCACTGTCTCATCTGATTGTGAGCCAAAAGTGGCCCACATATAAAGTGGAAAATGTGGCCCAATTATCTTATAACACATCTGGGCCAGATTTGGCAAAGATATGGCTCATCGAGAACTGGCTCATCTGGATGCAAGCCAAACGTGGCCCACATATAATGTCGCAAATGTGGCCCAGTAATCTCAAAACATATCTGGGCCAGATTTGGCAAAGATATGGCTGAGACACCACTGGCTCATCTGGATGTGAGCCAAAAGTGGCCCACATATAAATTGGAAAATGTGGCCCAATTATCTTATAACACATCTGGGCCAGATTTGGCAAAGATATGGCTCATCGAGAAGTGGCTCATCTGAATGTAAGCCAAAAGCGGCCCACATATAATGTTGCAAATGTGGCCCAGTGATCTCAAAACATATCTGGGCCATATTTGGCAAAGATATGGCTGAGTGACCACTGGCTCATCTGGATGTGAGCCAAAAGTGGCCCACATATAATGTGGAAAATGTGGCCCAGTTATCTTATAACACATCTGGGCCACGTTTGACAAAGATATGGCTCATCGAGCACTGGTTCATTGGGAAGTAAGCCAAAAGTGTCCCACATGTAATATTGCAAATGTGGCCCAGTTATCTCAAAACATATCTGGGCCAGGTTTGGCAAAGATATGGCTGAGTGACCACTGGCTCATCTGAATGTGAGCCAAAAGTGGCCCACATATAATGTGGCAAATGTGGCCCAATTATCTTGTAACATATCTGGGCCAGTTTTGGCAAATATATGGCACAGTGGCACCGGCTCATCTGGATGTGAGCCAAAAGTGGCCCACATGTATTGTGGCAAATTTGGCCCAATTATCTTATAACACATCTGGGCCAGATTTGGCAAAGATATGGCTCATCGAGAACTGGCTCATCTGAATGCAAGCCTAATGTGGCCCACATATTATGTTGCAAATGTGGCCCAGTAATCTCAAAACATAACTGGGCCAGATTTGGCAAAGATATGGCTAAGTGACCACTGTCTCATCTGATTGTGAGCCAAAAGTGGCCCACATATAAAGTGGAAAATGTGGCCCAATTATCTTATAACACATCTGGGCCAGATTTGGCAAAGATATGGCTCATCGAGAACTGGCTCATCTGGATGCAAGCCAAATGTGGCCCACATATAATGTCGCAAATGTGGCCCAGTAATCTCAAAACATATCTGGGCCAGATTTGGCAAAGATATGGCTGAGTGACCACTGTCTCATCTGGATGTGAGCCAAAAGTGGCCCACATATAAATTGGAAAATGTGGCCCAATTATCTTATAACACATCTGGGCCAGATTTGGCAAAGATATGGCTCATCGAGAAGTGGCTCATCTGAATGTAAGCCAAAAGCGGCCCACATATAATGTTGCAAATGTGGCCCAGTGATCTTAAAACATATCTGGGCCATATTTGGCAAAGATATGGCTGAGTGACCACTGGCTCATCTGGATGTGAGCCAAAAGTGGCCCACATATAATGTGGAAAATGTGGCCCAGTTATCTTATAACACATCTGGGCCACGTTTGACAAAGATATGGCTCATCGAGCACTGGTTCATCGGGAAGTAAGCCAAAAGTGGCCCACATATAATATTGCAAATGTGGCCCAGTAATCTCAAAACATAGCTGGGCCAGATTTGGCAAAGATATGGCTGAGTGACCACTGGCTCATCTGAATGTGAGCCAAAAGTGGCCCACATATAATGTGGCAAATGTGGCCCAGTTATCTTATAACACATCTGGGCTGGGTTTGGCAAATATATTGCTCAGTGACCACTGGCTCATCTGGATGTTAGCCAAAAGTGTCCCACATATAATGTGGCAAATGTGGCCCAATTATTTTCTAACACATCTGGGCCAGGTTTGGCAAAAATATGGTTAAGTGACCATTGTCTCATCTGGATGTGAGCCAAAAGTGGCCCAGATATAATACTGAAAATGTGGCCCAGTTATTTAAAAACAAATCTGGGCCAGTTTTGGCAAAGATATGGCACAGTTGGCAGTGGCTCACCTAGAAGTGATTCAAAAGTGGCCCACATATAATGTTGCAAATGTGCCCCAGTTATCTCATAACACATCAGGGCCAGGTTTGGCAAATATATGGCTCAGTGACCACTGGCTCATATGGATGTGAGCCAAAAGTGGCCCACATGTAATGTTGCAAATGTGGCCCATTTATCTTAAAATGTATTTTGGCCAGTTTTGGCAAAGGTATGGTACAGTGGCACTGCCTCATCTGGGTGTGAGCCAAAAGTGCCACCCATATGACATGGCAAATATGGCCCTTATAATTCATTACAATTTGTACCACATTTAAAAAATATACAACACATTGGCTAATCAGGGTAAGTCAAACTTGGCCCACATTAGAATCAAAATATGCCCCCCAAAAACCTGTGTAAACCTACGTGACAAGTCTGGCTTTTCAACACTTCTGACAATGGCTAATTTAGCTTCAAAGGGCAGAATTTTAAACTGCCTTGAAATTTTTTTTAACAACAATTAACAATATTTTTTGGTATAGATGCAGCAGACACGGCTGTGTCTCGTGTACACCAATGCATTTTTTTATGTGACCGGTGTGTTTATTAAATTGTTTTTAATGGGAGTGCTGCGTTTTTAAAACGCCGTAACGTTGTTGAGTGTTTTTAATTTTTTTTATTTGGCTATAAAGCACTGAACACATTTTTTTTTTACAGATTTACGAGAGTTAAAGAATGTTACATTTTGGTTAAAACGGTCATCACTGTCACTTGCTACCAGACTGTCCAATCACAATGGACCATACATACCACACTGACCAACTGTCACAACATTCTCTCTGTACAACATCAAATAGCAGAGTAGATGGAAAAATAATATTTCTGGTCTCCGAACATACGTGTCTATATGACATTCATACTATACAAACATTTTTAGCATTATACAGATTATCAGGGAAATCAGTAAAAAGTAAACTGTGCCACGGATATTCTGTATAGCAACAAAGTGTCTCAACAAAACAACATGACATCATGACTTCTGCACTGCCAAAACATAATCACTCACAGCTAGGCCTTTTCAAATTGCCATAACATTTTCAGCTAGCTAAAAACACTTTGGTGGACACATCCCAGACAGCAAACTGACATTGAATCAACGTGGAAACGACGTCTCTCATGACATTGAAACAACGTTGATTTTGCTCATCGAATTAACGTTGAACCAACGTCGACGCGGCATTCTTCAAAGCTAAATGAAAATCGAAAATTGGTTTGCTTTCATAACGTTGAAACAACGCGTTGATTTCAAGTTGATTTTCCGTTAGTTTTGAAAGAATGACGCGTCTGACGTTGGTTCAACGTTAATTCGATGAGCAAAACAATGTCAGATCAACGTTGTTTCGATGTCATGTTTCTACGTTGATTCAATGTCAGTTTGCTATCTGGGATGGCCTTAGTTAGGATGTAAGGCCACATATGTTATGACAATTGCTCACATATGTATGTTTTGTAGGTAGAGTGTTTAGAAAAGTGTCTAAGTTCAAACTTATAAAGAGCTTTTTATGGTTTTGGGATGTGCAAGAAGATACTTAATTGCTATTTGTGCAAAGCTTAGGGCACAATGATTTTGTCAAGTACATGTCCCTGTATCAACATATTTTTATTGATCAAGGAACATCATTCCTGTTCATAAAAATAGTCCTATCCCTAACCCTATCCCTAGAGTCGGAGAGACATATAACACCGATCTAGAAGCATATTGAAAGCCTTAACTTGGCATAACTTCAAACTTCAATTCTAATTTGTCGATATGAATGCAGTTCCAGGATCAAAAAAGATGCTGAGGAACATGTTGTAGCCTACTTTGGCTATTTTTATAACAAACGTACAGGACTTGTAGTGGAGAATAGGTCAAAAAAGTTTTGAGATTCACTGTGTGACCCCTCAAAGGGTATATTTGAAACCCACGTACAATATTCAAATATTTTTTTAAATAGCTATAATCAAATAAAAAAAAAGTTTCAATATTGAAAATATATATAAAAAAAGTAATATTTTAAAACAAAATAAACGTATTTAAATACATAAATGAAAATTTAATTACATTTTAGGCTTAATATAATTAACATCTATACAAAAGTCATTTTTAGTCTATAAATGAACTTTCTTAAAGATAAAACAATATATATAATTTTAACATTATAAAATTAATGAAATACAATTAAATGAATGACAATTAGTGAAGCTCTTGTGAGAAAATATTATTATTTTGATAATTAACTTTTTCAATTTTTATTTTTTGCTTCAGCTTAGGCCTACTTATTTATTAAGATCTCTATTTTCTTTGTAAAAAATATTTACTGCATGTGAAGTTGTCTTTGAAAAAAAAAAAATCAAACTGACGATTCGGGCCTTTAAATTTAAACGTAGCTCTAAAATTTGAAAAAGGCGCTGGAAACCAACGTCAGTTAGAGAGAGAGAGAGAGAAAAAAATCAAACCGACGATTGGGCCTTTAAATTTAAACCTAGCCGTGAAGCGCGAAAAAGGAGCTCGAAACCAAGCCAGAGGATTGTCAGTTTGAGGCCGGGAGGACGATTACTGCAAACAATCACCAAGGTAAGATATAATCGATACATTTATATTCTTTAGGGTATATTCTAGGCGATTGCTTCGTTATACCCATTTTTGTATGAGTTAATGGAATAACTTCTATATTTGAAGTAAGATCATTTTGGCAGTATAACTCTAAGCTAGAACAATTATGGTTCTCGAATGCGAAATGAATAAGTATCGATTGAATAGGGGCGCCAAAAGTATTTACATTTGCTAATGTACACTACCGGTCAAAAGTTTTAGATCGGTAAGATTTTTTATGTTTTTAAAATACGTCTTTTCTGCTCACCAAGGCTGCAATTATTTGAAAAAAAAAAAAAAAAAAAAAAAAAAACACCAGTAATATTGTGAAATATTATTACAATTTAAAATAGTGTTTTTCTATGTGAATATATAGTGAAGTGTAATTTATAACCGTGATCGAAGCTGAATTTACAGCATTAGCAGTCTTTAGCATCATTAGCAGTCTGCTACTCCAGTCTTCAGTATCACATGATCCTACAGAAATTATTATAAATATCGATGCTCAAGAAACATTTATGATTATTATCCATGTTGAAAACAGTTTTTTACATTTTTATTTCAGGATTCTTTGATGAGTAGAAAGTTCAAAAGAACAGAATTGATCTAAAATGGAAAGCTTTTGTAACATTAATCACTACCATTCAAAAGTTTGAGGTCAGTAAGAATTTATTTTTTATTTTTTGGGGGAAAGAAATTAGAAAATACTATTATTCATCAAGGATGAGTTAAATTGATCAAAAGTTACAGTAAAGACATTTCTAATGTTAGAAATGATTATATTTTAAATAAATGCTGTTCTTTTGAACTTTCTATTCATCATAGTAGTTTGGGGGGGAAATGGTACACGACTGTTTTCAACATTGAAATAATAATTTATGTTTTTTGAGCATAAAATCAGCATATTAGAATGATTTCTGAAGGATCATGTGATGTGACACTGAAAACTGATCTGTAATCAGCGACAGTAATGATGTTGAAAATTCAGCTTTCAAATGACATTTTAATATATTAAAATAGAAAACATTTTAAGTTGTCATTACATTTCACAATATTACTGTTTGTCATTTTGTTTTTTCATCAAATAAAGCAGCCTTGGTAAACAGAAGAGACTTCATTTTAAAACATAAAAAAATCTAACTGATCTAAAACTTTTGACCGGTAGTGTCTGTGCTTCGATTTTGCCAATCTTCAGTCAGTTCTGCACGGTGAAAGTATTTAACTCTTGCTTTTTTTGGCACAACAATGAAAAATGTATAAAAGCCCAGTGTAATATTTCATTCATGTACATTTGGGCATACAGTAATACTGCACTATAGTTGTATTACTTTGTAAAAGCACAAATTACTACCTTTTTATTACAATAAAAGCTTTTATGAGATGATTACAAAGTAACAATAGCCTAATAGACATTATTGAGCAAGTTGGTTCAGGTATTATTACTTTGTATTTCACATTTTTAGTATACCCTAGTCATTTTAAAATGAATTTTTCTGCTTTGTTTTTATTTATTTAGTTTTTATTTATTTATTTTTTGTTTTGAGTCAGGATGCTTTTCACCTTAATAACATGTCGATGTGATTTGCTACAGAAAATTGCTGGTGGGATTAAAAGTCTACAGTTTAGAATTCGCTGTCACCATTAAGGTAAGCTGCTGATACATTTCATGTGGTACAAAAAAAAGTATCAATGTAAAGAATGTTTTTTTTGTTTATTTGTTTGTTTGTTTGTTTTTTCAGCGCACCTCGTTAATGACTGCACTTCGTGTAATTGTAGGTGTAATTACTGTGTCATGGAAAGAGAAAAGTGGAATATCACTCGCAGCAATTTAAGAAAAAGGGCTGTTAAAAGAGTCACCCAGTTTATAGAATCTTTGAATGATGAAGAGGATAGTATGTATTGTACTAATGAAGAGCATGGTGTTGAAAATGAAGTAGTTACTTCAAGCTTTGTTTTGCCACCTATCTGTGGATCAGAAAGTGATGGGGAAAGTGAATCAGCAAGTGACGAGGATAGCCTTGATATTACTAAAGATTTAGTGGGATGTTTGAGAGACTGGGCAACACATTTTCACATTTCACTGATTGCTTTGTCTGCCCTTTTGTCGATACTGAAAGTCCATCACCCATCTTTGCCAAAAGATGCAAGAACATTACTCAAAACACAGACTCATTATAGTGTTGTTTCCTTGGCGAGTGGATCATTCCATTACTTCGGTATACAGAAAATGTTCAGCCACATATTTCAAAAGCTTACATTAGTTGTCCGGAATCTTCACAGCTTCAAATTACAGTTAAACATGGATGGTCTTCCAATTTTTAAAAGTTCAAGTGTACAGTTCTGGCCAATTTTAGGAATGCTGCAGGATTACACTAGGAAACCTGTACTGATTGCTCTTTACTGTGGGAATTCGAAACCTCAGTCATTGTCAGAATATCTGAAGGATCTGGTCTGCGAGTTGAAATCCTTGAGCACTGGTTTTGTTGTTAATGGAAAGACCTTCTTCTTGAATGTTTGCTCAGTAATCTGTGATGCTCCTGCAAGGGCTTTTATTAAGGGTATTAAGTCACACAATGGATACAGTGGCTGCGACAAGTGTGTACAGTCTGGCATTTACATTAATAATCGCATGACATTCCCAGAACTTAATTCTAGGGTAAGAACTGATGTTTCTTTTTCAAATGCAGAGGATGAAGACCACCATGTACAACATTCCCCATTTTGTGAAACATCTGTTCCCATGGTTAGTGGATTTCCACATGACTATATGCATTTAGTGTGCTTAGGCGTGGTGCGTCGTCTGCTTGATTTGTGGATGGGAACTCGCGGCAAGTTGAGTTACCGTATTTCATCCAGGCAAGTGTCTATCATTTCTGGCAAACTGCTTGCTCTCAAGAGTTACATACCCTCTGAATTTGCTAGAAGACCAAGGGCACTTGATGAAAGGTTACGATGGAAAGCAACAGAACTTAGGCAGTTCTTACTTTACACTGGTCCAGTAGTTTTGAGGGATGTGCTGACTACTGAGGTTTACCAAAATTTTATGTTGTTGTCTGTGGGCATATATATCTTGGCAAGTCCAACATATTGTTTGCTGTTAAATGACTTTGCAAACACATTGCTTAGATCATTTGTTAAGCATTTTGGTGAACTCTATGGTAACGTTTTTTTAGTGTACAACATACACGGTCTAACTCATCTCAGTGATGATGTGAAGGTACATGGCCACTTAGATTTAATATCAGGATTTCCTTTTGAAAACTACTTAAAAAAAATCAAAGGAATGGTTAGAAAACCTAGCTCTCCACTACAGCAAGTTATACGCAGAATTTCAGAACTTGATTCAACAAGTTTAAATGATGAGGAAACCCAGAAAGCTCACAAAAAATTTAAAATGCTGCACTCAGATGGACCTGTTCCAGAAGGATTCACAGGAGCGGTCTCCCAATTTAAGGAACTGTCGATAGATGAGTTTGTCATCAACACATCAGAGAGGGACAGATGTATAAAAATGAACAATAAGATACTATTGGTTCAGAATATAATTGTCTTTGAAGGTGAGGAATATATTGTCTGCAAAGAATATAGACACATTGCAACGTTCTTTGATTATCCCATTGAGTCCACAGATTTGGGAATTTGTTTTGTGTCAGATCTGTCACCAAAGCTGATGTGCTTAACATTAGATGCCAAAATGCAGAAGTGTGTCCGGTTGCCTATGGAGGTTGGATTTGTTGTCATTCCACTTCTTCATGCAGACCCATCCTAAATGTCACTCATAGCGTGGCGTTTTGGTAGTCCTTAAAGCTGAATTTTAAATAGTCCAATCTTTTTCAAATTGAATTTATGTGCAGACTGGCATCACAATTAGACAGCAGTGACAGAGTCCAGCCTCCCTTGGTTTATCTCAGTAGGTGTGTACCATATTTATACTTCTAATAACTTGCATTGGTTCTGAAACATGTGTTAATAAAGACATTTATGTTCACTTAAACCATCATTCACATTTTAAAGCTCTTATTATGATTATCATTAAAACATGGCTTCTAATAATGTTCATTTGTTTAAATTTAAAAAGTGCAAAAGCTATAAGTGCACTGCATAGCCTACTCTTAATGTTACTTACTTTTGTGAATCTTTCTGTTCTAGGTCATGTTTTACATTGTAGAGTTTCTAGAAACCCAAGAAGTTGAAGTGGTACCAGCACTTTGGGTTGAAAAAGAAATATGTCAATGGCCAGCTCAATACAGACGTGATGAATTAGTAAAGGCTATAAGAAATGAGGAGCAACCTGGAAACACGTGGGACGCATATTGTGTGCGAATTTTATATAAAGCTGGTATGGACATATTATTATTAACCAATAGGCTTCACTTTTAAAAAAAAAGATCTAATGATATTTCTTTACAGCTACCTACAAAGCTGCTCGTCTGAAACTTCCTCAAGCGGAAACACTGACCGACCTTCAGACAGCAGAGGAAGAAGATGTGGACGAAATTCCGAAGAAAAAGCGGAAAAGGCTGTAAGTATTAAAGTGTCATTCTACTACTATTACTCTAGGCATAAAAATATGTTTATTGCTTGTAATATGTTTTTGTTCCTCTTTAATATTTACTTGCTTTTGTGTTTGTTTTGAAGCTATATTCGTTTTATATAAGTTACATTTTAAAAGTGTAAGTGTAACTTATATTCTAAAGTGTCATTATTTAAAAAAAGTTCTTTATAAATACATAGAGTATGTAATTCCATCAAAAACATTTTTTGAGGTGACTCAATCATCTTGAGGTGACTAAAGTTTTCCAGTTTCCAGCCATATTACACAATGATTTATTGCTTGTCTTTGTTGCGTAATAGAGAAGTTAAAGAGCTTTAAAAAATAGTAAGTTAAATTGCATTACCGTAAAACTTAAAATAATAGCCCGGGCTTTTATTTTCCCAAATCGTCGAACTGCACCGGCTTGTATTTGAGACAGGCATCTATAGGAGCCCGGCCTTTATAATTTATTGTTGAGATGTTGTTCATTGAGTCTGTAATCTCTAAAAATCTCCAAATGTTCCTCGTGAAACTGATTTTCCGACCTTTTACAATCGTGTCAATTGGCTTTATGCACAGCTGCACTACTTCCTGAACAAGCCATCTCCTTGTTTCCTGTGTGCCATTATTGGACAAACTTATTAATCCAGGTGTGTCTGACCTCAGTAGTCACAACAACAATAATCAGACACACCTGTATTAATCAAGTTTGTCCGATAATGGAAGACATGAAACAAGGTGCTGGCTGAAGTTCAGGAAGTAGTGCAGCTGTGCATAAAGCCAATTGATTTGATTAATATGCGCGAGGGAAAGAGAGCAAGACTGTGCTCGTGTTGTTTGAAGACGTGAGAGTGTGTGCGCATGGCCGGGTCTCTCTCTCTCTTTCTCTGCTCGTTATGCACCCTGTCAAGCGCAGCAGTCATTCTATTCTACATCACTCACCGATCAAAATAGGCTTGGCGGTACAAAGATTTGCTTTGGCGGCTGCTAAAAAACGGACGATCTGACGGTTTTAGAAGTTTAACAACCCGTAACTAAAAAACAGACCCGGCCTCTATTTGAGACCAGCTTTTATTTACCCAAACCTGCAGCCACACCAGGTGTGTTAAAGAGACAGGTGTCTATTCGGGACTCGGCTATTATTTGAAATTTTACGGTATAAGTACAAAGGAAAACAAAAACACACATTTAGATTATTTTTCTAACATTATTACATGTTCGGTCTCAAACTCTGAACATGGTGACATTGTGTCACTACTAAAAGAGATCTTAGATTTTTGTTAGTGCATTAACATTTCTGCTTAATGTTTAGATTGGTTGGGGGGTAATATGCTTGTAATATATGTGTAATGATTTGGTTTTGGTGGTAAGACAGCATTCAGCAGAGAGAGTGAGAATCCAAACTCAGTTTATTATTAAAGTCATAGTCTATACCAGGCAGAGGGTCAAGCACTTGTAGTCAGAGCAAACACAAATACAATCCACTGAGGCAGACGGGAACAAGTAATCCAAAACTCAGGAAAATATAAAGAAACAAAGAACTGCTCAAAATACTGACAAAGAATAAACCAAACCAGCACACAAACAAGACTTCATACTGAATGAAGGCAAAAGGCATTTCAATAGACAGGGTGATGATCAAATAAACAAGACACAGCTGAGACAGATAAACTAATAATGAGCGAAGGATTCTGGGAAATGAAGTCCGGGAAAAAACAGAGTCTAATGAAAACATTGAAAAACTAGGATGCCATCAGTTAGCACATAATGGCACCAGTAGCTGACAGATGTAACAATATGCTTAGGGAAACCCTGGACATTGGCTTTAAATACAAGCTTAAATCTAAAAAAAAAAAGTACAGCTGGGCAGATAAGGGCAAGAACACAAAACATTGACGATTCTTAAGGGAAACTAGGAGATAGTGGTGACAGAAGCAATAAACAGGGCAAGCAGGGAGGAACAGGAACAGAAGAAATTTGAGACACTACCAGACTAGACTGAGACTGACCTGTGAAATTGATTAAAATTAAAATTAACTTTGATTTTATTTTCTGTGCCCCCTGACAAGACCAAACATTCGTTTTGAGAGTGACGACGAAGATTTGGTCAAACAAACAGGATCGTTGCCTCCAGCCCCAAAGATAACAGGACCAAACTTTGCAATTGAGTCTGCAATAAAGAGAAGGGTTCAAAATAAGCTTCAACCTCCAATGCAGATGACAAGTCCTGAGCCCTTGTGTGCTGAAAAAAGCCCCGAACCCAGTCGGTCTATGGGAACTTCTGAAGCACAACAATCGGGAACAGTTACTTTAAGTGGTCTTGCTCGTAAGTGATTTATCAAATAAATCCTCATGTCTCTTTCTGTTTTGGCAGGTAAATACAATTTATTATCTGTCAAAATTGCGTAAATAACATTGTTTTTATTTTTTAGCTCTTCTGCATAGAATTTTGACTAATCAAGAAATGATGATGGATCAGCTTAAAGTTATTCAGATGAACGTGCAGAAAATGGGCGAACCTGCTCATGGGCAAGATCCCATCGACAAAGACTTGCTGCCGGTGAAAGACCTTACCTCCCTGCTGGCTCTGGAAAAACGTCTGAGGGAAGAGGCTGACCTCAAAAAAAAAATGGTAACTAACACTTTGCCTGACCAATATTGCAAAAACTACTGCGAAATGCATTCAATTTGACTAAACTTTAATCATACAATATATTAATATTCCACTGTATTAGACCATGGAAATCTAAAATTATATTTTAAACTGTTATTTTTTTATTTTTTTGAAATTTATTTTTTTGTTTTGTTTTACTGTGGTGTAAAATCTGGTGTAAAAAGGACACTGCAAATTGTTTTCAGTTGAATATGGAACTGCATCAGTAATAGATTGGCAATCCTACAGTAGATAACAGGTTAAGAAAGTATCCAACGCAGAGATTGTTCTAAATGCCAACTAAGTCTGAAGTGATTTTATGTATTTTTTTATTTTATTCTGAATTAGGTAACTGTGAGTAGTATTTATATAAAACATTTTTCCATGTTTTTTAAATGATCTTTTTTTTAGATTACTGCATTGAGCTTCATTGGAGGAGTTGATGTTAAGGATAGTGTTTGGCGGGTTATGGGGCACTGTATTACCAACTCCCTTGGCAAACAACTGAACTGGCGTGGCATCAATGGCAAAACAGCTTTCCACAAACTGCAGCTGAAAGATGTCATCACTGGTAAGTGTTACAGTGCATAAAAAAACACTAATTCTGTGTTTTTGATGGTAATAAAATTAAGCCATAAAACACTTTTTATCATAAACTTTTTGTCAAATAATGTGCTGCACAATGAGCTTTACTGTTAAAATTAAAACATGGATTATTCCTTAAATTCAGTTTTGTTTAAAAAAATTAATTATTTATTCGTATTAGTGTTAATGTATTATTACATCTAGACATTTCCTATTTTTACTGTACTGCTGCGAATGCACACACAAACTTATAGTCATGATGAAGGTAAAATGGTTCCAAACATAACTCCGGCGCACTCACATGTTTCGCAGTTGAGCAGCACGCACGCTCATGATCCTGCTTAATCGATGATCGATAAGTTGTATCGATTAAATGTATTATCGACAATCGTATTATCGTTAACAGCCCTAGTGATGGATGATTAAGGGAATTTGGCCTTTGTGTTTCCTTATTTTTAAACTCCTCTGAAACAAGAAAACATATCTATACAAATACATGTTCCTAGTCACCCTGGTTTTCTAGAAAAAAAGGTTAAACTTGTGCCTTTTGGGCAAAAACAAACAAAAGAAACAAAAAGTGTCCTTGTCCGAAATGTGTCCTTGTTGCCTTGGGCCAAAATGTTCTTTAGAGTGGCACTGGCAAAGTATGCACTTGGTCAATGCTTGTCTTCCTGCTAATTGTGTCCTAAGATGTTAAAAGTTGTCTAATCCATCCTTGCATTTACAATGTTATATATTTTTAGGAACTGTCAGAACCAATAGACTGACAGCTACGGCCACCGATCAAGCAATTGAAACATTTATTAAAAAATGGCTTCATCTGTCAGGTGACCGAGACGGAGGGAGAAGAGAAAGGGAGAAACGGAGGAGGTCCCAAGACACCTGTAAGTCAGTTACATTGTGTTTTTGCCATGTGTTTAATACCACGGTCTGTCTGAATACTTGATTATGGCCCTAGAATATTTTAGTTTTATTTTTTTCCCAAATTCTGTTTTTTCCTTTTCCATTTTTGCTAATTCCGTTTTTTCAGTTTCCATGTTTGAGAATTTTTTTTACCCTTACATGTTATTTTAGTCATAAAAAGAGTGTGGTTGTAATGTTAATGATTAAAATGTACACAAATAAAATAGGAATGACCTTTTAACATTTATTGAGGTAACAGACATTGACTCTTACTTTTCAGCAGAAATACTGCATGATGCAACATAACACTAAACTCTAAGTTTAAGTAACAATTGAGCTTTAAAATGTCCAGTAAAATAAATTATATTATAGTTTATGCCAGGTAAGCAGTCGAAAATGAATAGTGGAATAAAGTCGTTATTTTTATTTATTTATTTATTTTTTCGCACGAAAAGTATTCTTGTCGCTTGATAAATGTAAGATGTCACTTGGACTATTTTAACAAAGTCTTAAATAACTTTCTGGGCCGGCACATTTCAATCCCTTAGAAGCCTTTGGAGGAGTGACCCAGCTCTCAGATTTCATCATAAATATCTTAAGTCTTACTGGTTTGGAACAACATGAAGGAGAGTAATTACTGACAGAATTTTCATTTTGGGGTGAACTATCCCTTTAACTACTTTAGTTGACATGAGGCATGAACAATTCTTTTACATCATAATACTAGTTAATACATTAATTAATATTAACAATTAAGGCCTTGAGGCCTCATTATACTTCTGCGTCTGACCTACGCCGAAGCTTTTATACTGTAGTGTTGGTTTTCATTTATACTTTAGCGTCATTGTCTGCGTTGACGCGCAATTACTCTTGTAGAGGGAGCATGTGAAACCCAAGGTAGCGGTCCTGGCAGACAAATCACAGCTCTTGCATTTCTTTAGAGTTGACACGTTGTTACATTTTTGGAGAGGTGCACGTCAGGTTACGCCGAAGGGTACGTGCGCTACACACAGCTTACAACGTAGCTATGGCATGAGTTCGACGAAGAAGTATAAATAGTCTTTTAGATTTACCAAACTGTTTAATGCACTGATAGGTCCAGTCCATTTTTCTACTATTGCTAGTAAAACACTTGGAAAATCAGCATTCTGTTACTGAGTCAACAATTGTTGTTTTTTTGTGTGTGTATCCAATAAAGGCTTGCAAGATTGCCATGATGACGCAGATGGGCCCAGTCAAGGAGGTCAACTTCTTTAATTTTGGGTGGCTCCATTTGTCAATGTTTCTACTTCTGCAATGCCTTTTTTTTTGGGCGTGTTGGGGGGGATTTGGGGGGGATGGGGGGGGGTGACCAACTGGAAACATGTTTGTTTTTTTTTGTTTTTTTTCTAAGATGCTTTACATATTTTGTGTTATTATTACTATTTTTTGATTGCTTTCCAGTTTTGAAAATTTAAACTTGCACTTGGTTGTTCTTTGACAATATTAATAAATAATGCAAATGTTTTCAGAAATGTGTTTAAATCATCTGTTGTAACTTCTCTTAACATAGAAAGGGGGCATTTTTAAATTTCTCTTTAGTGTATATTTTTCTTAGTGTCAGTCACAGCATGCACACACAAAAACACACAGTTATAGTTTATTTATGTAATTCTTGACACACATGTGGCTGAACAAATTTCCTGCTTGTGGACCAGATCTGGCAAACAGGATTGCAACTGTGGTCAGCTGTGGTTTATTTGGTTTGTGTTTTGGTTACATGTGGCATTGCTATGGCTTAATTGTGTCCCAAATCTGGCAAACTGGAGGGGACTGCCATAAGTGCCATAATTTTCATCTGGCCCACATACCGCATGTGTAATGATGGCACTTGATGGTCCGTTCTTGTTTGCCAGATTTGGGCCACAATTAGCCCAAAGCAATGCCACATGCCAGCCATAAACAAAACAAATAAAACAGAATTGGCCCAAATCTGGCCCAGACATCAAAATTGCTGTGGCCCAGATCCGTCCCACAGTTGACACTTTCATCTGGCCCACATACCTCATGGAATGATGGCACTCGAGTGGGCCCGCTCCTGTTTGCCAGATTTGGGCCACAATTAAGCCATAGCAATGCCGCATGTCAGCCATAAAATAAAACAATTGAAGCAGAACTGGCCCAAATCTGGCCCACGCATCAAAATTGCTGTGGCCCAGATCCAGCCCACAGTTGACACTTTCATCTGGCCCACATACCTCACGGAATGATGGCACTCGAGTGGCCCGCTCCTGTTTGCCAGATTTGGGCCACAATTAAGCCATAGCAATGCCACATGTCAGCCATAAAAAAATGAATGAAGCAGAACTGGCCCAAATCTGGCCCAGATATCAAAATTGCTGTGGCCCAGATCCGGCCCACAGTTGACACTTTCATCTGGCCCACATGCCGCGTGGAATGATGGCACTTGGGCGGTCCGCTCCTGTTTGCCAGATTTGGGCCACAATTAAGCCATAGCAATGCCACATGTCAGCCATAAAAAAAAATGAATGAAGCAGAACTGGCCCAAATCTGGCCCAGATATAAAAATTGCTGTGGCCCAGATCCGGCCCACAGTTGACACTTTCATCTGGCCCACATACCGCATGGAATGATGGCACTTGGGCGGTCCGCTCCTGTTTGCCAGATTTGGGCCACAATTAAGCCATAGCAATGCCACATGTCAGCCATAAACAAAACGAATGAAGCAGAACTGGCCCAAATCTGGCCCAGATATAAAAATTGCTGTGGCCCAGATCCGGCCCACAGTTGACACTTTCATCTGGCCCACATACCGCGTGGAATGATGGCACTTGGGCGGTCCGCTCCTGTTTGCCAGATTTGGGCCACAATTAAGCCATAGCAATGCCACATGTCAGCCATAAACAAAACGAATGAAGCAGAACTGGCCCAAATCTGGCCCAGATATAAAAATTGCTGTGGCCCAGATCCGGCCCACAGTTGACACTTTCATCTGGCCCACATACCGCGTGGAATGATGGCACTTGGGCGGTCCGCTCCTGTTTGCCAGATTTGGGCCACAATTAAGCCATAGCAATGCCACATGTCAGCCATAAAAAAAATGTATGAAGCAGAACTGGCCCAAATCTGGCCCAGATATAAAAATTGCTGTGGCCCAGATCCGGCCCACAGTTGACACTTTCATCTGGCCCACATACCGCGTGGAATGATGGCACTCGGGCGGTCCGCTCCTGTTTGCCAGATTTGGGCCACAATTAAGCCATAGCAATGCCGCATGTCAGCCATAATAAAAACGAATGAAGCAGAACTGACCCAAATCTGGCCCAGACATCAAAATTGCTGTGGCCCAGATCTGGTCCACAGTTGACACTTTCATCTGGCCCACATGTGGACCAGTTCTGCTTCATTCGTTTTGTTTATGGCTGACATGCGGCATTGCTATGGCTTAATTGTGGCCCAAATCTGGCAAACAGGAGCGGACCGCCCAAGTGCCATCATTCCACGCGGTATGTGGGCCAGATGAAAGTGTCAACTGTGGGCCGGATCTGGGCCACAGCAATTTTTATATCTGGGCCAGATTTGGGCCAGTTCTGCTTCATTCGTTTTGTTTATGGCTGACATGCGGCATTGCTATGGCTTAATTGTGGCCCAAATCTGGCAAACAGGAGCGGACCGCCCAAGTGCCATCATTCCACGCGGTATGTGGGCCAGATGAAAGTGTCAACTGTGGGCCGGATCTGGGCCACAGCAATTTTTATATCTGGGCCAGATTTGGGCCAGTTCTGCTTCATTCATTTTTTTTATGGCTGACATGTGGCATTGCTATGGCTTAATTGTGGCCCAAATCTGGCAAACAGGAGCGGACCGCCCAAGTGCCATCATTCCACGCGGTATGTGGGCCAGATGAAAGTGTCAACTGTGGGCCGGATTTGGGCCACAGCAATTTTGCTATCTGGGAAGGGTCCCCGTACGGGCCACCAATATGTAACGCTCAGCCTAATTAAGGCAGGATACACCACAAAATATACGGTTTAAACCCTCTATAAATTCTTTAAATGAAATTGTTCTATTTACTCACACCATAAACACAACAGAAAACAAGATGGTATAATACCTCAAAGTGTATTAAAGGAGCATTTCACCCATTGCAACATTAATCTTTATTGAAAGTGGATCATATATGTAGTCGAAATGTAAAATAATTTTTTAATTTGGTGCCCTCTTGACTGAGAAAAGACAGAAAATAACCAAGGGGCGCCTTTGTGTTAAAAAACTACAGTTCCCAGAATTCCCCAACATTGCACAGCTCCGCAAGACACACCCACTAACCCACCCACCGGAACAGCGCAAACAGAGACGCAAAAACACACTCTTCCGTCTACAACGCTAACATTAGCTGTTACCAGAGTAAGAGTTTGAAATTCATTTCAAACAAAATGTCTAGTTAGTTGGCTGTGGCGAACAGGACGATCGAGGGCGAGGGATGTAAGAGGACGGCGCGCTGCGCGAGGCCGGTGGCGTGAGTGATAATGAAAGACACCTGTGAGGCGCGCGCCGGTGCGTCTCTCACGAATAGAAGGAGCGAATACATAAAATGGGGAGCGACGACGGCAGATCGAGAGAGAAACAGGCCTGATTTTATGTTTTGTTTTTGTTGTGTATAACGCTGGCTTACTTTCGTTTTGTATTTGTTCATTTTACTATTAAAATGTTTAAATGTTTGCCGGTTCATGCCTCTTTCTTCCCACAACATTAAACCCCGTTCACGTTACATTTGTAAACACATTAACGTTAGTGAATTACTCCGCGTTTGTATTCATTTCTGTATGGTGAATTACTGAATGATACCTGGATGTTCTGAAGGCGAAACTATCACAACACAAACGCCCGTGTGCTCGTCTGATTCAGAGATTTCCTCCAGGAGAAATTGCCATCGTTGAAATTCTCTGCAGCAGACGGACTCTGTGTCCGTAGGCCGTGACACGCAGCAAGAGTCCAGGCAACAGCAGGCCGCCGATCTCGACCCAGTCCGGGCGTCTCCTGCTCCTCCATCAGCCTCAGCTGCTCTAAACTATACCGCAGCTCGTAAAGATAGCCACGAACATCGGATTCAAGCAGCAGACTTTCAAAAACCCTCTTCTTCCATATCATGTTTAGTTTCTTCCATTATCATAACTTCATATCTCCACAGGGCTTGTTAGCTTAGCTTCCAAACAAGATGGCGGATATTGATTTCAGGTTCTGCAAGTGAAGTCCCACCCACTGATCTGTAATAGGCCTGTGGGTGAGTGGGTGCCACACCCTTGAATAATAATGAGCTAATCATTGTAGTCTGTTGACATTTCAATGAAATGTGACTTCCTGCTTATCGTGACGCAAAATGACGATTTTTACGTCACGATAAGCAGGAAATAAAACACTTAAATCCTTATTTCTCCCATCTCAGGGGAAAATAAGGGAATAAACCATGACCATTCAAAAATATGACTGGGTTTCTAAAGAAACAAAGCTTAATGCAAATGGGTGAAGTGACCCTTTAAATACAAACTATGAAATAAGTCCAGTGAGTGTGTGAGCGTTCCAGTCCAGTGTAAGTGTATGTGTTGAATCGGGCTCACCGGTAAGCCTTTTAAAGTCCGTGCACTTGACGAGGAACAGCGCTGTCCTGTGATGTGATCTCCAGGGTAAAATAATCCACAAGTATATTTCCACAAAGAGTTCAACAATCGCAGTCAATGACAACCCAAGGAGTAGTGCGATCGATCGCTAGTCCCAAAAGAGCAATGTTTACGTTGCTCTCGAACGCCGCTTTCCCGGCTCTTTTAAACGGAAGTAAAAGTCATTAACCCAGCTGATCAGACTGACGTCACGGGGATTCCCTGGAGCTCCGCGACGAAACTCTCGCGGTAAAAACCAGGAACACAATCACATGTCCGGGGCATCAACAGAGAAAGAATAATTATAAAAAACAGCTGTCTGGTAAGCATCATACAAATACTTCACAGCAATATAAACATTCTTTCCTTATGTGGCCTAGCTACAAACTTATCATTGCATCTAAACCAACAACATGTTTATTAGATCAAATACCCACTAAACTACTGAAAGAACTATTACCTGCAGTGGAAGAGCCTCTCCTAAATATTATTAACTCGTCTTTATCTTTAGGCCATGTTCCAAAAATATTCAAGCTGGCAGTAATAAAACCTCTCATTAAGAAACCGCAATTAGATCCAAATAACTTGGCAAATTACAGACCGAAAATCATATTTCATATGTTACAAGAACAGCCCTTTTCCAC